CTACCTCCCTACAGATGGGGATTAGACTACCTCCCTAAAAATGGGCATCAGAGCTACCCCCTAGAGATGGGCATCAGAGCTACCTCCCTACAGATGGGAATCAGAGCTACCCCCCTAGCGATGGGCATCAGAGCTTCCCCCTACAGATGGGCATCAGAGCCACCCCCCTAGAGATGGGGATCAGAGTACCTCCCAAGAAATGGGCATCAGAGCTACCTCCCTACAGATGAGGATCAGACTACCTCCCAAGAAATGGGCATCAGAGCTACCTCTCTAGAGATGGGCATCAGAGCTACCTCCCTAGAGATGGGATCAGAGCTACCTCTCTAGAGATGGGCATCAGAGCTACCTCCCTAGAGATGGGCATCAGAGCTACCTCCCTAGAGATGGGCATCAGAGCTACCTCTCTAGAGATGGGCATCAGAGCTACCACCCTAAAAATGGGCATCGAAGCTACCTCCCTAGAGATGGGCGTTAGAGCTACCCCCCTAGGAATGGGCATCAGAGGTACCTCCCTAGAGATGGGCATCAGAGTTGCCTCCCTACAGATGGGCATCAGAGCTACCCCCTAGCGATGGGCATCAGAGCTTCCCCCCTAGAGATGGGCATCAGAGCTACCTCCCTAGAGATGGGCATCAGAGTTGCCTCCCTACAGATGGGCATCAGAGCTACCCCCTAGCGATGGGCATCAGAGCTTCCCCCCTACAGATGGGCATCAGAGTTACCTCCCTAGAAATGGGCATCAGAGCTATCTCCCTAGAGATGGGCATCAGAGCTACATCCCTTGAAATGGGCATCAGAGCTAACTCCCTACAGATGGGCATCAGAGCTACCTCCCTAGAGATGGGCATCAGAGCTACCTCCCTGGAGATCAGCATCAGAGCTACCTCCCTAGAGATGGGCATTAGAGCTACCTCCCTAGAGATGGGCATCAGAGCTACCTCCCTGGAGATCGGCATCAGAGCTACCTCCCTAGAAATGGGCATCAGAGCTAACTCCCTACAGATGGGCATCATAGCTACCCCACTAGAGATGGGCATCGTTTTTGTGAACGAATAAATTGTTTGAGAACGAACTACATTTTTCATGATGGTGTCGTTAAGACAAAAATAGATGGATAAACAACATGGATCATTCAGAGGAATAAAAAAACTATTGTTTCTAAGCAAAACAAAAACGAACGATTTGAAATCGAATAATCGATTCTTTTTTACAGAACAAACGATATTTCCGACCCAACTTTTGAAAAAATTTTATTTTATGAAAGAACGATTCTTAACGAATAATTTTATTGAATGAATAATTTTACTGAATGAACGATTGTACTGGACAATCATTCAATAAGAAAATGAATGATTTTACTGGAAGATCGATCAGTAAGAAAATTAACAAAATAGATGCAGAATGGACGATAATTTAAAGACTGAAGGAAATCAATATTTTTAACAGTTGAAAAAAAAGAAAAAAATTGGTCATTTGTTCCACTTTATAAACCCCCTACCTTAGTTTTTTTTTGGGAAAATCGCAATTTGAACAAAGTCCAAAAGAGAAGAATAACCCCCTACTCGGCCCCAAATCTTTTTAACATTCAAATTATGTCATGTGTTGCTAACTTGCTACGCCACTTCTGCTATTGTCAATGTTTTATATACGGACATATTCGCCTGGAAAACTTTGTCAAAGATGTGACACTTCAAAGTGGAGCCAGTCTAGAAAATTGATGCAACTTTTCATTGAAGCCAAGATGATGTGTCGTAGATTTTATAATAAATTGAGTCTTAGACAAAAACTGAAAATATCCAATCCGTATATTTGTGCAACTTGATGATGTAAACCTTTGATATTTAAAGTCTTAGATTATTCGATCTTAAAAAATTTATTTTTTGAAATATCAAAGGTCTACAGAATTGGGTTACAAATATATATGGAATAGAAGATCAGAGCTTGTGGCAAAGACTTAATTACTTCCGAATATTTCCTGTTTTATTTGACGTATTTCCTAATATAAAAAAAAATACTTTGAATCTAAATTTCTAAAGTCTGTCCGACCAAATCTCTTCCTATCGGGTCTTAAGTGGGTTACCACAAAAATTGGTCCTGATCGGTTCAGCCGTTTTAACATTTATCGGACACAAACAGATCAACAAAATTACATTAGATAAACAGAACAAATATTTAGTATATAAAGAATACGATAAAATTACAAATGTAAATAAACTTATTTCTTTCTACATTCTCTGACATAATTGAATTAGACCTGGAAGGTTATACAAGTAAGGTTGTATATTATTATAAGTTTACATCGTCTGACAGAATCAGACAGTTTTCTATATTCTAATATATATAGGGGTCTCATTCAATTAACCATAAGCTTGAGCACTGTATATCTTGTTTGTTTTTTCTAGGATTAAAGGGACTGCTAACGTATTCTACCGAAGGAGCAATAATCCTCAAAAATGCAAACGTTCTAAAAAATAAGATTTAAAAAATTGGCCAAACAGAAAGAATGGTGGAGTGGACATAATTTCAAACAGAAAGAACGTTAGACTTGACGTAATTTCAAACAGAAAGAACGGTGGAGTGGACGTAATTTCAAACAGAAAGCACGGTGGAGTGGACGTTATTTCAAACAGAAAGAACGGTGGTGTGGACGTAATTTCAAACAGAAAGAACGGTGGAGTGGACATTATTTCAAACAGAAAGAACGGTGGAGTGGACGTAATTTCAAACAGAAAGAACGGTGGAGTGGACGTAATTTCAAACAGAATGAACAGAGGAGTGGACGTAATTTCAAACAGAAAGAACGGTGAATGGACGTTATTTCAAACAGAAAGAACGGTGGAGTGGATGTAATTTCAAACAGAAAGAACGGTGGAGTGGATGTAATTTCAAACAGAAAGAACGGTGGAGTGGACGTTATTTCAAACAGAAAGAACGGTGGAGTGGACGTAATTTAAAACAGAATGAAGGGTTAAGTGGACGTAATTTCAAACAGAATGAACGGTGGAGTGGACGTAATTTCAAACAGAAAGAGCAGTGGAGTGGACGTTATTAATTAATTGAGTGGTCGTTTGTATACATCACGATATGTTTACGTATCTAACATTGTAACTTATATAGAGTGTGATCGTATTTCTTTGGGGTGGTAAAATGTAGATAATTGAAAATTAGTATTGATAATTTGATAGACACTTAATATTGATTGTAAACACAGGATTGTATACTGCAGTACATTCCAGTTCAGTTGTTTGTTTATGTTAATTAAAGTATGACCAAATTTTGCACCGTAAAAAAGTGCACAAATAATTCTTCTTTTAAAAAAGTGAGTTTTTTTTCAAAATATCAAAATACCTCAAGTTGTATTTTATCAAACCATTTTAAAGAAGGAGATATTAGTCAGGGGAAAAGCCAAGTTTGAAGAAAAATGCAACACCATTACTCTCAACTTTAGGTGAGTATAAACATGAATTTACTGTAGCCGCAATTAAAGATGAGTGCGCATCTTTTTTTTTTCAGTTTATTTGTTTATCATTTGTTAATTAACCATCCAGTTTGTGTTCTTTTCAGTACTTCAGTAAAAGTTTGAATTTGTTTGTTCACAGAATAACAGGCGCGCAACTAGAGTTGAAGAGAAGAAAGAATAAAAATGTTTGAAATAAGAATTTTATTCAAGTTTTAAGCCAAAGGCATGCTCATAGAAACTTAATATTTTTGACAGAACTTTTAGTTAATAAATTGAAAACCTACAAATTTGAAAATTGTCAAATGTTGCAGTCAACATCCTCTGTTTGGAGCCCCCCACCTGTAGTTTTTTGTCCTAGGGTACAGGGTGGGAAAAGTCCGGTCTGTGAAAAAAAAATCTAAAATAGCCCATAACGTTTTTGTAGCTAAAGCTAGAGATCTAAAAACTATGGGTTTGAAAAGCCCTTGAAAAATGCATTTAGAAACATCTTTCATACTTTAATATATGTTTAAAACAAAAAAATTTTTTCATTTTTTTTACCCTTTTATAGGCATTTTTTCAACCCTTCCTAGCACCCAAACCATTTTTTCTTTAAGCTGGCTTTGAAAAATTGTGCTATGAACATACATTTCAACCCTATAACTATTCTCTAAGGCCTTTTTCTAGGGATGGGGGTGCCAAACGCCCCCCCCCCAGGCTATACATAGATTCAGACCCCCCAGTCTTTATATGGTTAAACTACTAGTGAGCTGTTTTTCTTGGATTAAACACTTAGTTAGTTCGAATCAAAAGTTTCCCCTTTGGATATCAAGTTGGGGCATTGTTGATAACCAATAGAAAATTTCCAACCTTTCTTGTTATTTACCTGGTAGTGAATGTTTTACTTTACGTACTCTGTATCTTCTAAACCAGGAAACGGAAATGGTCTATCTGACCATTTTTTAAAGAGACTGTACACGGAATTATAAGTTATCCTTAATTTAAAGAATAATCCTTGAATAATAATAAGTAATAATTTATTTAACCTTTGTCTTTTTGATAATGAGACAGTGTTAAAAAAAGTACAATTTTATTGTTACAAGCTATATATTTAAAATGTATAATTAAGCTTGCAAGCAATATAATTGCATCCAGATAATTTTAAAAAGAAGCCTTGAAAGATACTTATTTTATTTTCTAAAAATTAAGATTAAATCCTAAATGAAACCAAATAAACAATGAGATGTTTACTACGTAATAAAGAAATGTTTGAAATAAATAATTTATAAATAGTTTTTAATTATGATTATACCATTTCCTTTTTTTATGCAGTAAAAAAGTATTTTTCAATTGTTAAAAATTTCCGAATTAAGCAGACTCCCAGAGGACGAAAAGGTTCAACTCTCTACTTTCTTAAAAACTCATAAATCTTTAAGAGTCTATATTAAAGACCAAGGGCCATTAAATACACTTTAATATCGGCGACTTATAGAGTTGTAGGTCGTTATCAATGTCTCATCCTATATGGGTACTTTCTTTTTTAAAAAAACCATCTGACCTTGATGTTCTCTGGGCTAATATTGATCTCTCCATTAGACCAATCTGAACTATAGTTGATTAACATTCTGTACTCAGGCCAACGTAGCTTATACCCCAGTCGGATAGTTACTATCTAAACAGAACATATAATCATAAATATAACAGTAAAAATGAATGGATATATTCACTACGTAAACTGTAGACTTATAGTCACTATCTAATCAGTAAACATATATGGATATAGTCACTATCTAAACAGATATGGATATAGCCTCTATCTTAACAGTAAACATAAATGGATAAAGTCACTTTCTAAGCATGTATGGAAATAGTCACTTTATTGACAAATTTGGATATGATTACTATCTAAAAAGATATGTCACTTTCTTAACATATGTGGATAAAGTCACTATCATAATGGATATGAATATAGTCCCTGTCAAAACAGATATGAATATAGTCACTTTCATAACAGATCTCAATAGTAAATATAGTTACTATCTAAACAGATATGAATATAGCCACTATCTAAACAGATATGGATATTGTTACTTTCTAAACTGATATGAATAATAGTCACAATCTAAACAGTTATGGATATAGTTACTATCAAACTGATATTACAATAGTCACTATCTAAACAGTTATGGATATAGGTACTATCTAAACTGATAAGAATATAGTCATTATCTAAACAGTTATGGATAAAGTCACTATCTATACAGATATGAATATAGTCACTATCTAAACAGATATGGATTAAGTTGCTATCTATACAGATATGGATAAAATCACTGTCTAAACAGATATGGATATAAACACTATCTAAACAGATATGAATAAAGTCACTATCTAAACAGATACGAATATAGTCACTATCTAAACAGATATGGATATAGTCACTATCTAAACAGATATGGATAAAGTCACTATCTAAACAGATACGAATATAGTCACTATCTAAACAGATACGAATAAAGTCACTATCTAAACAGATATGAATATAGTCACTTTCATAACAGATCTCTAAACAGATATGGATAAAGTCACTATCTAAACAGATACGAATATAGTCACTATCTAAACAGATACGAATAAAGTCACTATCTAAACAGATTATGAATATAGTCACTATCTAAGCAGATATGGATAAAGTCACTATCTGAACAGATATGAATATAGTCACTATCTAAACAGATATGGATAAAGTTACCATCTAAACAGATATGAATAGTCACTATCTAAACAGTAAACAGATATGAATACAATCACTATCTTGACAGGCATGTATATAGCTATTAAAGAAATAAAAGGCTGGGACACAAGCTGAAACTTAAACATGAGTACTATATAGTCGATATTATCCTATTATGTATTACTATGATAATGATAATAAAAAAGTAATGTATGGTAATAATAAAAATTATGAAAATATAAAAAAAATCAAAAATAATCATGATGCTCTTATTTTGCATATAACAAAAAGTACAGTAATAATTAACTTTTGATAATTAATATCTCGCCTTGCAAACAGATTAGCAGAAAATCTTAACAAAAAGGGAGTGACCGGCAATGTATGGTAGTTGAACTGAGAAAGTAGTATTGTGCAGAAATGTTTTAGGATTCATTTGAGATATATCAAACGTTTCTACGATGCATATTTGTTCAGCAAGAGTGCAATTTCAATCTTTAAAATCCTAATAAATTGTCCATTTTAGAGGGATGAGTTTGAGAATCGTTTTTTATTATTTAATAAAGACCACGAAAAATGTAATAAATTCTACAGTAAACTAATTTGTTGTTTATGAACAGGTTGAGAAAATAAAATTAACTCTTATCATCGAAATGAAGTAATCTTATTGGTTTCTGTAATGTCTCATTGTTTCTCATTTCTGTAGATTTCATGGAAATAAGTGATTCTAACATTGCTTTATCGACAATTTTTTTTTGAGAAAAATGTTCCTAAGCATCTAATTAGTTTACTGTATCGTCATTAGTTAATTATTTTTTTTAAAATCGATTCTCAACCACTAACAACCCATATATATGAATGATTTTAAACATTCTCAATTCAACTAACCTACATTGCCGGTCACTCACTTGCATTATGATTTCTTAACCGTAATTTCAATAACATATAGGTAACATTTTCCCCCAATTGGATTAAGGCGGTCCAAACCTATTCATATGTCATCTCTTTTAGAGTTAATAATTCTTTGGACCAGTAATTAACAAAGGTTTACACCATCAGGTTGCAAAGATATAAGGATTAGAATATTGGAGTTTTTGGCAAAGATTCAATTAATTTGAATTTTTTGTTTGTTTTCCAAATAAAATTTAACTTTAAAAAATGAGTAGATTTTGAAAATCCATCAATGCTAACAGAAAAATCCGCGAATTTTTCAATTACACAGTTACAGGGTAGAAATAGTGACCTGATAAGCAATATTTGAAAGCTTAAACTGCCTGTAGGACGATTTCAACCCTTTACGCGACGTTGGCATGAATAATAAATGATCTAGTTGTTGAATTTGTTGGTCAAATATTTTCTAGATTTTCTTTCTTTTGTATCATTTCAATTTCCGTTTTCTAACTCTCCAGCCGGAAATAGAAATATATTGAAGTTTACGATAAAGAATAAAAACATGTTAGAGTTAAAGTTCTAAGTTTAGAAAAAATGTTGGAGTCTAGGTGTAGCTTTAGAAATATGCTTGAAAAAGATCAGAAATATGATGGAGTATCTATGTCTAGGTTTAGAGGTTAAAAAAGATAAGAAATATGATGGAGTATCTAGGTCTAGGTTTAGAAATATGCATGAGAAAGATTAGAAATATGATGGAGTATCTAGGTATAGGTTTGGATATATGCTTGAGAAAGATTAGAAATATGATGGAGTATCTAGGTCTAGGTTTAGAAATATGCATGAGAAAGATTAGAAATATGATGGAGTATCTAGGTCTAGGTTTAGAAATATGCTTGAGAAAGATTAGAAATATGATGGAGTATCTAGGTCTAGGTTTAGAAATATGCATGAGAAAGATCAGAAATATGTTAAAGTATCTTTGTCTAGGTTTAGAAATATGTTTGAGAAAGATTAGGAATGTATTAAAGTTGTGAATATGGATATAATGGAGTTTAAAAATTGAAAATGAAGCTATGTTAGATAAGCAGAGAAATTCGACGATATTTTTTTTCCAATGCATGTGACCTTTCTGTAATTTTACCTCACCCTCCATTTATTTTTGTTCAGCTTGAAAACAATTATTTTTCCAATATCTAGAAAAATATGATCACACAAAGTTTTTCATGGGTACCGGTTTTGAATCTGGCATGTCATTCTACAAAAAGAGTTACACTTGAAACTGAGTCTTCATTCCCTTTAAGTTCTTTTAAACAATTATGCCGAAAACCTCTGTGAAATATGAAGAAAGTTTTGAGGTTGGACCCCACTTCAGAGATTGTTTTTACTTCATAGTAATAAAATCTGCTTGCAGGGGGAGGAATAGAAAATGGATCAAATTCTACCTAAATACTAGGAATAAATATTTTTTTTATTTCTTGTTAACATATTCTTAAATATTTGGTAGACTTAAAAATGAAATATATTTTTCCCATTTTTTGGTCCCCCCCCCCCTCATGTTGTGTCAAAGCGCTGAATATATGACCTGAAAATGTCCCTTGGGAGGAATGTTTAGTGTGTATACCAGACTTCTTAAAAGATTATCATAAGAATGGAAATCCACTTTCTTTACATCCAAACCATAATTATTTCTCAAAATTAATTTTTCTAGATATTCCAAAGTTTGATAAGTTTATAAAATGCGGGTTTCAAATTTTCCAAAGAATTTAATTAAGAATTTTGAAAGGAATTATAACGGTACATGACTAGAAGTCAAATGAATACATGAATGGATTAAAATTGTGTGAATGTAAACAGGAAAAAAATTAGAGACTGTTGGAAAACCGTTATTACACAATCGAAACTGCATTTAAATCTTAGATGCCAAATTAACCCACAATCGAAATTACATAGTTACCCATTATGTATGAGACTTTAGAGCTAGACTACTGTATGAAATCTATCTATACTGTCTGTATCTTTATATTTATGATTCTAGCTCTGAAACTTGATACGTATCTTTGACAAATCATTTAATAAACCGCCTTTAAGAAATTAGACTTGATTTAACCGGAGCTGAAAACTTTAGAATGGTGGATATCGAGATTAATGCTTGATCCTCTCTCTTTCTTAATATCGAGACTAACCTAACCTTGTACTTGTATCCTCAAAAGTGTATACAATTCAACCAATCAGAGTCGCATATATGAAGCTGATAGATTTGAAATTTTGCGCGGAATTTAAGATTAATTTACAGAAACGGGAGGGGCTCTCTTTTTTTAAAAAAACCGGTTTTTGATTTTTCTCTATTTTATCAAAGAAAGAATGGCTTAAGAAGAAAATCAAAAGTGTGCCCATTGGATACTCAGATTCAGTATCGAGATTAAGGATATCTCATTCTAAAGTTTTCAGCTCGGGAGATTTTATTATTTTACATATGTTTCAGGTCGTCTCTTTACAATATTTTGTATCATAAAAAAATGTTTTAAAGTTTTAGTTGAACATTTCCAAATATTTTAGCAATTCTAGAATTGAACTGTAATGTTGCATTGTTTCCTATAAAGTTATATTGAAGAATAAATATAGAGTGACCGAATTGTAAAGTTAATTCTCAGTATAGAATTTATAGCTGGAAACTTTAACTCTAACCTTTCATGGTGTGCAGTAAGAAACGAGGTGAATTTTAAATTTGTTTTCTTTCAAAACTATTTTTAAAAATGAAATTTTCCGGAATATCGCTGGGACATGAGCTGCACTGCAATGTATTGCGGGCAACGCATTTTTCTCTTTCGTCCAATGTATTCATCCTTGCAATGCAATTGTGCGACAAATACTTAGATTTAGATTGGACCAAAAACGCGCAGATACATTCATTTCAGCGGAATTCCGTTTCAAATGTCAAAAAATAATCCTTATTAATTTATTAATACATAAAATAAACATTGAAATAAAAACATACAGGGTGAGTCAAATAAAAGGGTGAATAGCGAGATCTTGCATATAATAAAGAACTTCTTTGGAAATCACATTTTTGACCAGTGTATGTATTAAATTTTTTAAATATTTTTTAAAAAGGAAATCTAATAGACCCTTAAAAATATCAGTAAAACTAAGTAAAAACTAAAAACCTCCATGAAATTTTTTAAAAATTGGACAAATTACTTATCTCTTCATATCCGTGAGGCAACAAGGATGCAATACTAATAGAAGGCAATATTAATTGCCTTGGCTTCCCTCCATCTTGTTGCATCCCTATTGCCTCCCTGTAATAAAGAGATAAATAGTTCAAATCTTGAACAGATCAGAAGAGTAGTATTGGTGAAAATGCGAGAAATTGTATTTAGATAATCCGCAAAAGTATTTGTTTCTTAAATCCACTTGTCCCCATATTCTTGTTGTATTACAAAGTTATGGATATTCTCTGTTCTGTTGAAAAATGAGGAGCCATTGCAGGCAGAACCTTGCTTCTAATGATTATTTCAACACTAAAAAGCACATTTTCTAAATTTAATTTCGTGCATTTTATCTTAAACTTAATTAAAAAATTGCATACAGTCATAACCAGAAAGACCCCGGAATTAATTGACAGTTAATTTGACGACTTTACATATATCTCAGGTAATATGAAACGCACAATAAAGGCAGACCACATTTTGGAATTAGCAGGACTAATGCCTTTTGTTGTTATCGTTCTATCAATCATTTTATTAAAATTAGATTGTAAAGTCGTCTGATCAAGTATAAATTAATTCCGGGTCTTTCTGATTATGACTGTACATAGATATAAAAAATGAGATTACCTAAAAAAACTTAATTATATTATATGCAAGATCTTGTTAATCACCATTTTTGTTTGACTCACCCAGTATTCTTTTTATTTTAAGTTTTAGTAAAAGATTCAATGTTTTATCCCTTTCTCTATTTTACTCGTGACTTTTAAGTTTTGAATTTGTAATAAAACTTAAGCAAAAACATATCATAATGTTTAAAATCCTTTATCTTTTAATTCTTTTATGGAACCACGCGATTTTTTTTAAACCCTTTTAATTTTATTATTTTTACTGGCTTTTTCTAATAATAACGGTTAGCCCCGTATAACCAAATGACATTTTTTCTTCCCAAAATACCCCAACACCCCCCCCCCCCACTGTCTCCGAGATAATAGGGTTAAGAATGCTTAATCTTTTTATTTTAGTCTTTTGAATTACAGAGCGGTTTAAACCTAATATGAGAATTTTTGAATGAATACATTTAAATGTGTCTGAAATCTAATTCTTTAAGAGTAACATTGTATTTTATATTTTTACTGCAGGCTGGGAGATTTTGAATTAAAGATCTGAGGTAAAGCTCTGCAAATAAACAGTGCACATTTTATCATAAACAAATACTTGTTTCTAAAAATAGTCCTCATCCCCCCTCCCCTCCGTCTTACCTTCCCACAAATATAAGAATTATATCACACTTCGCAGCCCTAATTTTTATGGTGCTTTACTTGCGACATTTTATTCTTGTAACTAGTTAAAACAATTTCGCAGATTTATCTGTGTCCTTTGGGAGTTTCCAATAACTTATTCTAAAGTTAATTCCTAATATCAGATCGCCCATGACGTTTGATAAAAAGGACACTTTAAAGGTTCCGGTAACAATTAAGGATGGGCAATGTTTTAAAAAACGATTGAAAAAAGGTTAAAATGAAAACTGCCCACCGCTAGTTACATCTAATAAAAGACTCTAATTGCTGATGAAACTTGCAAAATCTTACAACTCACCATTAGCAATAAAATGATTCATTAAGTTTTATGAAACACTTCAATGCATCAAGCAAAATTCTACACAATTAAACCCCACACTTGATGTTTATAAAGAGTATAAACTGCTTTAATTTAACTAACTAATTAGGTTTTTTTGTGCTGTGAACTTTGGGATTCATTAAATAGCACAAAAAACTAAATATAAAGTGTAAAAACATATATCAATATTAAATATCTTGCTGAAAACATCAAAGTTGATTGGGGTAAAAAAACAGCTCAAAAAGGCGAAAAAATATAAAAAAAAAAAAATTATTCTTTTTAGGTTGTGCAAAACATTTTCTTGCAAATTTAAGAAAAAGTTTGCAACTTGTTTTTTTTAATTTAAAAAAATTCATCATTCTTAATACATAATTATTTGATTGTAAATACATAATTTTGAAGTTTTTTTTAAAGATCAGAGAAATTTTAGAATCGAAATATTTATGAAAGAAAGTTTAGATTGCATATTGCAGGTTGCAGCCGGGAGCAAGTTTTTCTATTTCAACTTTTTTATCAAAATTTTCGGATGAATTCCATCCAGATATTTTTAACTGATTGAATGAAAACTAAACAAACACTGTTTGTTCATCTTTAAAAAAGAATATATTTCTATCTTTAACTCAACTTTAGTCATTTAATTAATTTATGTTTTCCATGCAAAACTTCCTCTTGTTGGAATTTAAAGATTTTGTTGCGCCTGGGAAAACCTTTTATGTCTATAATGTTTTTAAGTTTTACAATGCAAGTTATTTTGTTTTTAACAATTTTTTACAAATTGATTCTGCAAAATCTAAATCTTTCAGATTTTGAAGATCCTGAGAAAGGTTTCGGAGATAATTTTAAAATGTACCTTCTACCCCATATGGACATCGTATATCCAGAACTTCAAGGAGGAGAGTTGAAGAAATTATGTATAGGGTTAACACAGTTCGAATTTTGAAACCAAGATCAAATATTTCTGTGGTTCTGTCGAGTTCAAATGTTTCAGTTTTATGATTGGACATAAAAAAGTAGACAGGAAAACAGGGATTTAAAAATAAAAAAATCTCGAGATTATGATTCTGAAATGTCGTTTTTTGTTCAGATTATCCTGCAGCGTAAACAATATTTTTCTTTATGTTTACTTAAGTGCAGATCTGTAGATTCTAAATAGATAATAACTCATGAAATTAAAGATTAAAGTTTTTACTAAAGGACTCTAATTAGACTTAAAAACGATATTTTTAAAATCTAAGAACTTTTAAATTTTCTTAATTCAGAAATATATACTAGAATTGTCTTCTGCTAAGATATCTATATATTTACTTGGCTTGTCCGGGTGTTAGGATGTTTGTTTGTTTGTTTGTATCCAATAAACGTCAAAACGAATGAACTAATCGGCCAAAATGTTCTGTGGTACCTCACAGAATCTCAGGGAAGGTTTATTAATGATAAAAATTTTAAAAATTAGCCTCCAACAAAATTTGATTGTCAAAAATTTAGAAAATCTATAAATTTTTTTGAAAAAATCTGCGAATTCTTTTTTTACAATGCATACAAAGAGAAAATGTGCACAATTGAAATAGAAAATGGGCGCGAAGCGCATTGGAAGCCTAGTGTATATAAAGCTAGCATAATTTTTAAGAAATAATGGAAAATACTCGTTTACAAACTTTGGGCCCAGGGCATCACAATTTCTAAATATATTTTTTAAACTAAAGTTAAAGAAATATTCTATTTTTATGCATTCTTTTAGATAAAAAAGGAATTTTGAAATTTTAAGATTAAAACTATTTTATTTCCCTGAATTCCTTGTTTGAAAGCTGAGCTGTATTAAGATTCCATATATAATTGTCAAGGAATCAACTATTTCTGTTAAATTTAATCATTTATCTTATTAATAATATGCAAGATAGTGTAGTTTTTCTAAAGGCTCAAAAATATTTAATTATGATAATTTTTTTATGTTTTCCTGCAGTAGAAATACTCAAATCATTTTTGTGGGGAAAGCACGGTTAAAAATGATAGAGTTTTCAAATTAAGAAACTTTAACTCTTTTTTCTTGGTGGATAGAACGCAAAAATTGTATAACCGGCCGGTCAGAAATTCTTTTTTAATCTAAAGACACTCATTCTTTAATTCTAATCCATTATGGTTCTTGTGATTTTGCAACTGGACGGTTGCGGTGTAAATGTTGATATTTCGAACTTTGGCTACTTTATCTGGCAAAATATAAAGATTAAAATATCTGGAGTCTCTGCTACCAGGTTGCAAAGATAAAAGGATCAGAGATAGGAACTATTGTCTAGATTATCGTTTTAATCTTGAAGGTTTGATCTCGATATCAACTTTTAATTTGAGTTATCCCTGCAGTGTATTACCGCCACAGGATATCAAAGAGGTATTATTAGACTTAACCATTTAGGTCTACGTAAGACGGAGAGTAAAGCTTTTCTCTGAGATTTTAAACAGAAAAGTTCTGATTTCAGAGTTGGGAAATTTTAATACCCATAATCCAGATCTCTTGATCTCAATATCCACAGTGGTTACTTTTGAATTTTACGCAGAATCTGCTTGATCTTTCCATTTTGGATATTCGCAATTTCTCTTTTCTCTCATTGGTTAAACGCAAAATTCCCTGGTCTATGATTGGCTGTTCGATTTTCACAGAAAGCACTCTTCACCATTATCGAATAAAGACTGTAGAGTATTTTATATTTTATAAGAGTAATTCTAGTTCCTTCTGTAAATCCTCGAAGAAAACAGTGAAACCTACAGAAAATTCCCCTGTCTTTTTGTTTATCTGCAGATTAATACAATCTTTATTTTGATATCCAGGAAACTGTTTTAAATTTCAACAATCAGAGTGTGACGTGCACAAACCGAACAGCCAATCAACAACTGGTAAAAGTGAGCTCTTATTGCTCGGGACCCAGCAGGGATATCCAAAAGAGCGGACTATGCAGAAAATCAAAAGTGCTCACAGTGGATATTGGGCTTAAGGGTATCCAGCACCAGAATTTCCATATGTGAACTATATTCTAGAAATAGATTAAACTTACCGATTTATGATCATCAATTTCACTTATCTCTGATACCGGGAGTTTGAAATACACCGTTAAAGGTCCGTCGCCTAAAAAGAGAATTTGTTAAAAAATCGGATTAATAATGTAATCTAGAATAAATAATTTAAAGGTTTAATTTTAAGATTAAAGGGGCTATAAATATAACTTCAAATATAATTTCAAATAATCCTCAATTTATCTAGGAGCTTACCCGATTTACACCCTTCATATTCGATCAATAATGTGAAAGATAATGTCGGTTTTCTACCTTGAAACGAATTTTTATTTATTGTTTATGACGCAAATATCCGCAACCCACTTTAAAGTAAAACCACAGCTGAAATTTCTCAATTTTTGAAAGAGAAAATAATAGATATTTCTTGTAACGGTATACTGTTTTGAATCCTCTAGATGCCAATCTAGAAACAAAGAGTCACTTCATCTACACTCTGCACTCTACACTTTACACTCTACACTCTACATTCTACACTCTACACTACTGTGCACTCTACACTCTACAATCTATACTCTACACTCTACACTCTACACTCTACACTTTACACTCTACACTCTACACTCTACAGTGCACTCTACACTCTACAATCTACACTCTACACTCTACACTCTACACTCTACACTCTACACTCTACACTCTACAGTGCACTCTACACTCTACAATCTACACTCTACACTCTACACTCTACACTCTATATAGTCCATATTTACTGTAAAGGACTAATCAAAATTCTTCCTTTTATCGCTTTAGTTTTGTGACGAAAAATAATAGGTTAGTGAAAGGCGCACTCTTAAAGGCATGGTCTGCAGATCAAGAATCAATAAGATATCAATATTTTTCTTTTCAAAAAATTGATTTCTCAATAAAATGATTGCGCATTTCAAGAGTGATTTCAATTGTTGATAAAAAAGAAGATAATTTTTTAAAGAAAATATGCTTAGCCTTGAAACTTTTAAATATGCAAGCTAGCTGAAAATGAGTCTGCAGTATTTGTTAATCTTCAAGGGAAAACTGGTCAAAATATCTGTATTTTCATTTAATTTTTTCTACATGTTTATAGTAAAAAGAAATTTTGTTAATTTGTTTAAATTACCGGAAATAGATTTTTTTATTTATGAAATTACAGACTTCACGTTTTTGTTTCACAAACCTTTTTCTTCTTTTTTAATTTCTCTTTAAAATAAAATGGCAGAACACTAAACTAAATTCAATCAATGTTTAATGTTCTTTCAACAAGCCTTTAGAGATTAAAATTAGACGCATTTTGTATTCGCTTTGGTTTGGTATAATGTAGGGAGCCCAATATTCTTGTAATATATGACCTCAATTATAGCAAAGAAGCCTAAAAGGGTTTCAAAAAAGTTTTAATGTTATATATCGCTGTACAACAATAGAAATAGATAAACATTAGATTTATGCAAATGAAAACGGTTGCAATAAAAAATAAAGAAATGATATTTTTAATCTCCTGATGTTAATAATTTATGTTAATAATTTATGTAAAAGATTATTTCTAAAAAAATTCTGAAACATTTTTCAAGAAAATTCATTCTGCATTAAAACTTCAGAATAAGATGGGGATAGGAATGATTCAAGTTTATTTTAATCTTTTTTTAAGGAAGTACTGCATGTCCAAATGATGAGATTCTAATGACAACCTGGAAATTTTTAAAGTGACTGAAGAAAGACATTTCAGATTTTGTGTGCTCAAGATTGAATGAGATATACACATTATTATCTTTGAAAAACTGACATGACTCGACAGCATTTACATTTTTTTAAATAGGCATTTGGGAAATTTCCCAGATACCCAGGCATTTTGGAAATTCCCCAAATTCCTGTAGGTATTTGAGGGTGGTATATTTTTAAGATTTTGGAAATTTCTCAAATGACTGGATATTTGGGGAATTTCCAAAAAAACCTAGGCATTTGGGAAATTTCCAAGATACCCAGGCATTTGGGAAATTTCCCAGATATTCAGGCATTTGGGAAATTTCCCAATGTCTGACAATTTGGTCTTGGTATTTTGGGAATTCCCCAAATGCCTGGGTATCTTGGAAATATCCAGTCATTTGAGAAATTTCCAAAATCTTAAAAATATACCACATTCAAATATCTGTAGGTTGTTAGGAAATTTCCCAGATACCAAGGCATTTGGGAAATTCCCCAAATTCCTATAGGTATTTGGGGGTGGTATATTTTTTAGATTTTGGAAAGGACTTGAGTTTTTGCCACAAACTCAAATTTTCTAACCCCTATATCTTTGCAACCAGATGGTGTAAACCGATGTTATTTCAAACTTAAACTATTTGATATAACATAATTCATAGTTTGAAATATTAAAGGTCTGCGACATCGGGTTGCTAAGATATAGGGGGACACAGTAAGAGTTTGTGGCAAAAACTCATTTCCTTTCTCAAATGACTGGATATTTGGGGAATTTGGGAACTTTCCCAGTTACTCAGGAATGTGGGAAATTCCTATTTTTGACATTTTTGATAATTGCTGTCAATCCCTGAAAATTTATTTTAAATTCAATTGTGATTTCTCTAAACGGGTGAATTGCGGATTTCATCTGTGAAAAAATGGATGAAATTGTTAGAATTGAACACTTTTCAGTCTTAACAAAACATCCTCAATATTTAAAAAAAAAAAAAAGAAACAGTATCCATTGCAGGAAACAATTATCTATTTGTAGTTTTTCAAATAAAAACACTAATTCTTGCCAAAAAAAAAATACCACCGCGTATAAAATCGGCTTTTGAAAACGAAAAATATCGTAAACTTTCATTTATTTTGAAGCATAATGTATAAAAATTATTCCAATATTGATAGACCATTAATTAGATCTTGGATATATATTATTGGCTTATCACTATCGTATTAAATAATACTCTTCTCATACTATGTGTTAGCAGTCTCTCTGATAAATATCAAAATAAAATGATCAATATGCATGGTTTACGGAAAAATTTCATTTGAATTTGTTATTAAAAATACTATTGAAGGGAAGTGAAGGGAAGTAAAGAAAAGCAAAGGGACGAAAGGGAAGCAAAGGGAAGTACAGTTAAGCAAAGGGACGAAATGGGAAGCAAAGGGAAGTAAAGGGAAGCACAGGGAAGTGAAGAGAAGCGAAGGGAAAAGGCTGTAGAGTAAGTTGAATGAAAAAGCAAGAAAAAAAAGGCTAACGAAAAGGAATGAAGTTAGAAAAACTGTTTTTGATTAGATTGATTGATATTTTTAGATTCTAAAAAACTTTGTTTGCCATTCAGACTTTAAAAAAAGCATTTGACAATAAATAAAGTTAATCCTGTATCTTCAGTTGGGCTTATTAATATATATTATAATTATAACCAGAAACCTTTTTTTCGGAAAAATGTAGTTTTAAATCTAAGTTTCTAAAGGTTTCGACATAAAATCTTCAAAAAATTGCAGTCGAATGGTCATCGCAACAATGGAAGGGGCTGTCGTTGAAATTTCAAGTGATCCTTCATTAAAAAGAATGGCAAGCTCGATTTACAACGGTACCTTTAAACCTGTATAGGGTAAATCATATGGAATCATCTTTATTTGTTAAAGCTTTTGGTTTGTTTCTATTGTAAAGATCACAATCAACATTTAAAAAAATCAATTTTAAAGTTTAGAAAAATTATGCTTTATTCATTGTTGAGTCTTGATTATACAAAGCTATTCAGGTAATTGAACCATCAGGTTGTAAAGATATACTACTTAGAAAACTGTGAGTCTGTGTCTTGTTGTACTTTTCCATTAAAAACGTATCCGCCGACCAGAAAGAAAACTACTAGAGAATTGTTTAATTTGTCAAATTGTGATTGAAAGTCAGAGTTTACTTAAAAATGCTTGACCATTGTGAATCGGACGTACCAGTCCAAAAATGGAGGGTCACTTAAATTTACTATTTTAGACCATTTAAGAGAAGAAAAAGATGGAGTTGTCAAATCGAGAAGAATGGTAAAAATTGAAAAGAGAGGCGTGGGAAAAAATTGATAAATGAAAAAGAAATAGATAACGAAATATCGATTTTCTTTCAGGGCAGAGCTCAGATCTGTTTATTTTCTTCACGTTTATCTATTTTAAGAGTTATGGCATCATGTTTCGTCATTTGTTATAAGCGTACAATTTCTTTCTGACAAAATTTGAAAAATGTAAATACTATGATTTGCAATTTATTAGTTTAAAATAATGGCATGAGAATAAAATAGGATTAATACGCACGGCATGTTAGCCATCTTATTTTTCAAACTTTCAACATGAAAATAAATGTTTGTTTGTTCTTCTATATTTTCAATTATAACTTCTTTGAACGAGAGCTCTTGAGATGAACATAAATGTTTTGAATTTCTATTATATACTTCTGCTTAAAATTCTTTTTCTGTTTAGTTTGCAGTAATGGAATTGAGTCTTTGCCACTAACTCTGATGTTCTTATTCGTATATCTTTGCAACCCAATGTCGTAGACCTTAGATATTTCTAACTGTGAATTCTGTTTGATCAAATAGTCTTAATTTTACATTTTTAAAATATAAAGTTGCAATGATATAGGGATTAGAAAATTTGAGTTTGTGGCAAAGATCATTTTCTTTTTAATAGACTTTTTAATCTAAGGTGTATTTACACAGTGTGCAATGGGCATGCAGTGTGCAGTGAACACATTGCACATGCACTGCAGAACTGGTATCAAACTGTTTTGATTCAATATAAAGAAAATTTCTACCGAATGTTTCTGTAGGCTGCATTCATCCCTTTGCACAAGTTTACCGCAATCGGGTTTTTGTAGCAATTAAATCATAACATTTTTGTGGGTTAGGGAGGCAAACAAAGTGAGCCCCCCCCCCCCATTCAATTGAAATAAAAATCTCTTTTTCATTAACGCTTGTCAATTCTGAAAGATCCGATTAATATAAAAGGGACTGTAAGCCTAATTTCAAGTGACTCTCCATGTAAAGATGGCGATATACCCAATTCACAACGTTACTATTAAAGCATTGTCTGATCAAGTATGCATGAGATCCGCATGTTTATATTTCATTTGTG